CCCTTAATCTATGAATCTATGAATCTATGAATCTATGAGAGCTTTACTGGTTACAAGGAGTAGGTTTAAAACAGGGTACAGGGTAGAGCAATCTCAGAGAAATATCTTAGAGCAAACAGTGGTATGGTAGCCTTTGATTACACATCTGTGTTACTGCAAGCCATACATCTAGTTAGATCTCAAGTAGCTTACTCATGAGTGTCATCCAGAGGCAGGTAGAGATTTCCTCTGGAGGCAAACAGTTCATTGATCATGAGTTTCGAGAGAGAGAGTTTCAGATTGGCCAGCTTTTCTGAGAGTTCTCATCATGGCTACTGCCCCTCCTCCTGGGCAGTCCTTCATTTATGTAGCCCTTATGACCTCGTTTACCTGATCCAACGAAGGCCAGCAACTGCTGGCTGCCCAACAACCAATTTGAAATGCATCACTGGTTACCAGGTACGCTGGCAGGGTCTTTAGCCCTCTCCCAGTCATGTTGGCATTGCTTAGAACCACAAGGAGTTTAAGCCCCCCACCCAGGTACATGTGGCCAGTCACATAGGCAGAGGGAGCAGGTTTCCCCCTCCCTCTGTAATGTATCCAGCTCAGGTTACAACTCAGGGTTACCTGAAGCCGATGGGGCCAGAGGTGTCTGCCCTCTGCAGTGACCATAGTAACCAAGTTGTCAGATAGAGTTTGGGGAGAGACAGAGATGGTATTCTGCCACATAGACAAAACAAAGGGTACGTGTGCACGATGCTTTAAAGCAGGTTAAATGTTTCTGCACTGCTTTAATGGTGTTGGTGTTTGCACACATCAGCAGCATACTGCACCTTAAATGACTTTGGGGCACAGCAAACTAAAACACCTCCAAGGAGTTTTAGTTTGTTGCCCTATAGCCACGAAGCAAAGCACCGGGCTCTGTGAGGCTCAGGAACTGCGCAGGCAGCCCATGCAGGCAGCCTAGCAGCAGCCCAGGAAGGCAGGCTCCATCAAAGGGAGGGAAAAAAGCGGAAAGCCTGATTTTATTTTCTTCTCTGGAGCCTGCCTGCCTGCATGAGATGTGCGGAGACCCGGTCCTTCCCTCTGCAGCTGTGGTACCCCCCAGGACCACCTGTGCTGGGTGTCTCCAGGCAGGTGCCACTGCTGCCATAGAGGGAGGCACCAGCCCTTTCCCTGTTGCCCAGAGACCACTCCACCTGCCGGCGGCTCACCCTCCCCTCCCCTCCCCGCCACTGGAGAAGCAGGTAAGACATGGGTGTAGATGACACGGGAGTACTTCGCCCTAAATTGAAGCTGTGTTTTTAAAAACCCACCACTTCAATTTAGGGCCCGTTTCACCTACACATGCCCCAAGTCTTCCCTAACAACCCATTCAGCCTCTTAAAATATAAGACAGTATGGACTTTTCAATTCTTTTTCTTCCTCTGAAGAAAACAGATTAGAGCCCTTTTTGCATGAAACAGACTGCTGCAATACCTCCCAGAGCTGGAAAAGAACAAAACTTTAGGACAGTTTGATCCTTGTTACCTAGTGGGGCTGGAGAGGGGAGGAGCGGCAAGAAGCCAAAACTGCAGAGTACAGCACAAAAAAGGTAGACAGACAGATATTCGGACCATTCTTTAACTCACAGAGGTTTATATAAAGCACCACAAGTTAAAGCAGCCCTCCAACCCAACAGATGGATCAGATCACCTGTTGGGTCAATGTGTGTGTGTGTGGGGGGGGGG